TTTTTTTTTTTAAGCCTCGCTCTTGCCCAGGCTGGAGTGCAGTGGCATGATCTTGGCTCACTGCAACTTCCACCTCCTGGGTTCAGGAGATTCTGCTGCCTCATCCTCCTGAGTTGCTGGGATTACAAGCGACTGCCACCACGTTCTGCTAATTTTGGTCAGGCTGGTCTCCTGACCTCAGGTGATCCCCCGCCTCAGTCTACCAAAGTGCTGGATTACAGGCGTGAGCCACCGCTTCCAGTCTGCGTTTTTACTTTTTAGTAAACTCCCGTATTTTTGTTGAAGGCTGGGTAACCTGACTCCTTCACTCATTTTTACTGTAAACTGAGAGTACAGTGGGGCCTCCCGGTGGAGCTGTTCTCTGCAGTTTTAAATTACTTTCTACTTCTCCCTCTCTAACATGCATCCCTGGACTCATTTGTTAGACCCTTGTATATTGGGACTGTTGTGCTTTCTTTGAATGTGGTAGATCTCTTTCCAGAGGGGCTTCCCTTGATCCAGATCTCCCTAATTGGGAATGATGATCTCACAGACTAGAGTCTCTGATGCTGGTCATGATGTCAAAACTAAGTTCTGACTCACTTAGGGGACTGGATACTTGGGTACCCAAGAGGGGGCCAATGGGAGGGCCATAATTCTGTTTATTTTCAAATTGTCTTGTTTTCACCTTGTTAGAATGAGCTCTGGAAGCCCCAGCCAGGGACAATGCCCCTTCACAGAGATTCTGCACTAGCCTGAGTGAAGGCGTAAGGTTTGGAGCCTTCCCCTTCGGGGAGATGCGCTGTATAGCTATCACGCCTATATAGTGACTCCTGCGACTGGCCTTCAGGCTGGGAGAGGTGGAGAGCCATGCCTGATCTCCTTCGTTGCTATGGTGAGTGTCCTTCGTTTTGGCTCTCAGTTGGAGTGGTAGTGATCTGGTTAGAGAGTCTCTGAGCTTTTCTCTGAGGATCTTTGAAACCACCTGATAATACTCTCCATCCTGCCTGGAATCTCATGTGCTTCTTTTTTTTTTTTTTTTTTTTTTTTTTTTTTTTTTTTTTTTTTTTTTTTTTCTCTTGAGACAGTTTCACTGTGTCCAGACTGGAGTGCAGTGGCGCGATCTTGGCTCACTGCAACCTCTGCCTCCCAGATTCAGGCAATTCTCCTGTCTCAGCCTCCTGAGTAGCTCGGATTACAGGTGCCTGCCACCACACTTGACTAATTTTTTGTCTCTTTAGTAGAGACCGGAGTTTAACCATGTTGGCCAGGCTGGTCCTTGATTCCTGACCTTGTGATCTGACCGCCTTGGCCTCTCAAAGTGCTGGGATTACAGGCGTGAGCCACCGCACCCAGCCCTGTGCTTCATGTTTTTATGGTCAGCTACTTATGATGAGGTTTAATTGGCTGTGGTTCTGCAGTATGTAATACATGAAACATAGTGCTAGCATCTGGCTGGCCTCTGGGGAGACCTCGAGAAACTTTATATTGCATGAGATGCAGATGGAAGCAGGTCTGTAGCATGGCCAGAGAAGTAGCAGTGGCGGGGAGGTGCCACGCATTTTTAAGCAACCTGATCTCCAAGGAACTGACTGTCATGAGCACAGCAGGAAGGAGATGGTGCTTAAGCCATTCGTGAGTTCAGGGTCTCACTTTGTGTACAGGTTGGTCTTCAGCTCCTGCCTCAGTGAGCCACTGTGCCGGCCCCGACATGTATTGTGTTTTTTTTTTGTTTTGTTTTGTTTGTTTGTTTTTTTTTGGTTTGAGACGTTGTATCGCTCTGTCATCCAGGCTGGAGTGCAGCTGTGCAATCTTGGCTCATTGCAACCTCCGCCTCCCAAGTTCATGTGATTCTCCTGCTTCAGCTGCCCAAGTAACAGATTACAGGCACGCGCCACTACACCCAGCTAATTTTTGTATTTTTAGTAGAGAGTTTCACCATGTTGGCCAGGCTGATCTTGAACTCCTGACCTCAGGTGATCTGCCCATCTTGGCCTCCCAAAGTGCTGGGATTACAGGTGTGAGCTGTAACATCTGGCCAATTTTATTCTATTTTTTGAGATGAGGTCTTGGCTCTGTTACCTAGGCTGGAGTGCAGTGGTGCAGTCACAGCTCACTGCACCTGTAACCTCCTGAGTGGAAGCTTTCATCTCACTTCATCCTTGGAGTAGCTGATGGCCACAGGCATGCATCACTATCCCAGCTAAATTTTTTTTTTTTTTAATTTGAGGACGGGCTAGGTGGCTCATGCCTGTAATTCCTGCTCTTTGGGAGGCCGAGGCTGGTTGATCACCTGAGGGCAGGTATTGGAGACCAGCCATACCAACATGGTAAAACCCTGTCTCTACTAAAAATACAAAAATTAGCTGGGAGTGGTGGCAGGCATCTGTAATCCCAGCTACTTGGGAGGCTGAGGCAGGAGAATCGCTTGAACCCGGGAGGTGGAGGTTGCATTGAGCTGATATGATGCCATTGCACTCCACCCTGGGCGACAGAGCAGTACTTCATCTCAAAAAAAATAATTTGTAGATACGGGGTCCCAGTATGTTGCTCAGGCTTGTCTCAAACTCCTGGCTCACGTGATTCTCCTGCTTTGGCTTCCTAAAGCGTTGGAATTAACAGGCGTGAGCTACCATGCCCAGCCTTGACTTTTAGTATAGATTCAGGGGGTACACGGGCAGTTTGTTACATGAGTGTATTGTATGATGCTGAGGTTTGGGGTAGGATTACCCCCATCACCCAGGTAGTAGGTGTAGTACCCAACAGTTACTAAACTTTTGCCCCATTCCCTCTCCCAGTGTCTGACGTATGCCTGTGTATACCCAACATTTAGCTCCCACTTAAACGTGAGAACATAGTTACTTGGTTTTCTGTTCTGCAGTGATTCACTGAGGATCCTGGCCTCCAGCTGCATCAGTGTTGCTACAAGGGACATGTAGCATGTCTTTTTTTTTATTGGTGCATCCTATGTGGTTGTAATGTTCTCTTTATGAATTTTCAGGAATTTGCTGACGAAAAGAATATCTTCTGCCTGGTGCTGGGCATATCCTAAGAACTTAAAACTTTCCTGCATTACCCTGTGTGATCAACTGTCAACTTACTGGGGGAAGAATGCTTGAAATTTGGGGTCACTTCAGGTAGATAGCTTCTACTTTCTATATTTGTCTTACACAAGTATCTGGTTTTATCAAAGTAATTCTAATAAAATATTTTAAAGTAAATAAGACATTGGTCTCAGTGAAAATTATATGATACAAAAAGATTAAGGAAAGTGAAAGGTAAAGCCCTATCAGAGTTAATGCTAAGAGTTAGACTGTACTCCACCTTAACCCTAATGTTAGAGATTCTAGGTTGGATGACATAGTATTTTATATAATACACTAGAGTAGACATTTTTGACAATTGAGGTTTTTGGTGTTTTTTTTTTTGAGGCAGAGTTTCACCTTTGTTGCCAAGGCTGGAGTGCAATGGTGCAATCTTGACTTGCTGTAACCTCTACCTCTTGGGTTCAAGCGATTCGCCTGCCTCAGCCTCCCGAGTAGCTGGTATTACAGGTACCTGTCACCTCACCCAGCTAATTTTTGTATTTTTAGTAGAGAGAAGATTTCACCATGTTGGCCTGGCTGGTCTTGAACTCCTGACCACGGGAGATCCACCCACCTTGCCTCCCAGTAAGCCACTGCACCTGGCTGCATGAGAGATTTTTAAACAGTCTCGCTTCCTGGCCCTTCAAGCTGACCTGCCTGGCTTACAGTTACTCTAAGAGCAGCCTGCTACTTTAGGTACTGCAGGCAGTGAGCCTCCTAAGGCCTGGCCTCATCCTGGCCTCATCCTATCTCCCTACTGGAATAGGAGACAGGAATCCTTACCCACTGGCCAGTGTGCTGGTCCTCCAGGTGACACCGCCATCTGCCCATTGTTTAGTCCTGACCTTTGGAATCTGCCTGACTCCTTTCCTATTTTTACGTGCTACATCTAATTTGTCAACAAATCATGCTGTCTCTACCTTAGAAATGACATCAGGATCTGTGTCTCACACCTCTACTGCTATGCCATCCTGGTGGGAGCCACCTTTGGCTCTCACCTGCAACTGTCCCACCTGGTGTCGTGGCTTCCACTTTGCCCTGTTACAGCCTCTCTACACAGCAGCCAGAAGGTTCCTTCCAAATCAGGAGTCAGGTCATGTTTCTCTTCTGAAGATCCTGCAATACCTCCCATTTCACTCAGTAAAAGCCTCCATCTTACAAGGACCACCCAGCAAGTTCTCCCCATCTAGCTAGCTCTGTCATTGTCTGACCTCATCTACCCTCCACCCTGGCCACACTACAGAAAGCCAGGAGCTGCTTGGAGCTCTCTTGTCAATGTTCAGGGAGTAAAGTTTGCCCATTGGCCAGGGTCACAGTGTCAGGCTTTAGGGGTACACCCAAACCTGCACCAACAACTCACAGATCGGAATTTGTATCAGTTGGGCTGTGAGGAAATTCTAGGGCCCAGAAATAATCTTAAAAACTGTTTTGGGCCGGTTGTGGTGGCATGTGCCTATAGTCCCAGCTACTTTGGTGGCTGAGGTGGGAGGATCGCTTGAACCCAGAAGTTCTGGGCTGTAGTGCGCTATGCTGATCGGGTGTCCACACTAAGTTCGACATCAATATGGTGATCTCCTGGGAGTGGGGGACCACCAGTTGCCTAAAGAGGGGTGAACCGGCCCAGGTCAGAAACGGAGCAGGTCAAAACTCCCATGCTGATCACTAGTAGTGTGTTCATGCCTGTGAATAGCCACTGCACTCCAGCCTGGGCAATGTAGCGAGACCTCGTCTCTTAAAAAATATATATATTATTGTCCGGGTGCTGCAGCTCACACCTGTAATCCCAGCACTTTGGGAGGCCAAGGTGGGTGGCTCACAAGGTCAAGAGATCAAGACCATCTGCACAACATGGTGAAATCCCGTCTCTACTAAAAAATAAAAGGTTGGCTGCTTGTTTGTTATTTTCTTCCCTCATTTTTTTCTGTCTCCATTAAGCACAATTATTGGTATAAAAGAGGTTTTCAATACCCATTTTTAGACTGCATTCTAGCCTGGGCAGTAAAGCAACACTTCTGTTCTCTCTTCCTCTTCCTCTTTCTTCCTCTCTTTATTTTTCTTTCTCTCTTTCTTTTTTGAAAAATAAAAAATAAAAAAAAATACAAAAATTAGCTGAGTATGGTGGCATGTTCCTGTAGTCCCAGCTACTAGGGAGGCTGAGGTTGCAGTGAGCCGAGATTGTGCCCCTGCACTCCAGCCTGGTGCCTAGTGACAGCAAGACTGTCTCAACAACAAAAACAAAAATGCATATATGTGTGTGTGTACATATATATATATGCGCACACATGTAATTTTTTTTTTTTTTTTTGGAGACGGAGTTTTGCTCTTGTTACCCAGGCTGGAGTGCAATGGCGCGATCTCGGCTCACCGCAACCTCCGCCTCCCAGGTTCAAGCAATTCTTCTGCCTCAGCCTCCCAAGTAGCTGGGACTACAGGCACGTGCCACCATGCCCAGCTAATTTTTTGTAGTTTTAGTAGAGACGGGGTTTCACCATGTTGACCAGGATGGTCTCGATCTCTTGACCTCATGATCCACCCACCTGAGCCTCCCAAAGTGCCGGGATTACAAGCGTGAGCCACCGCGCCCGGCGTAATTTTTTGAACTATTTTGGGGCAGGGCACAGTGGCTCACGCCTGTAATCCTAGCACTTTGGGAAGCTGGAGCAGGCAGATCACTTGAGGCCAGGAGTTCGAGACCAACCTGGCTAACATGGTGAAACCCCGTCTCTACTAAAAATACAAAAATTAGCCAAGGGTGGTGGTGCAAGCCTGTAATCCCTGCTACTCTGGTGACTGAGGCAGGAGAATCGCTTGAACCTGGGAAGTGGAGGTTGCAGTGAGCCGAGATTGTGCCACTGCACTCCAGCCTGGGCAACAGAGCAAGACTCTGTCTCAAAAAAACCAAAACCAGCCAGGCGTGTTGGCTCAAGCCTGTAATCCCAGGACTTTGGGAGGCTGAGGTGGGTGGATCAGGAGGTCAGGAGATGGAGACCATCCTGGCCAACACGGTGAAACCCCATCTCTACTAAAAAAAAAAAAGTTAGCCAGGCATGGTGGTGTGCACCTACGGTCCCAGCTACTCAGGAGACTGAGGAAGAGGAATAGCTTGAACCAGGAAGCAGAGGTTGCAGTGAGCAGCCGAGATTGCGCCACTGCACTCCAGCCTGGTGACAGAACAAGACTGTCTTTAAAAAAAAGAAAAAAACCAAACTAACCAAAACCAGCAACTGGTAGCATGTAATTTTACATACTGGTGATATGTAATATTAACATTTGTTTACATCACATGGTAGTATATAAACATTACGTACTAGTATGTGTACATGCGTAATGTGCCTGGCCTCCCGTATTTTTGCACATCTGAAATATTAGCATCTTAAAAACATGGCTTGGGGGTAGTAAAGCTCATGCCTGTAATCCCAGCACTTTGGGAGGCCAAGATGGGAGGATCACCTGAGTCCAGGAGTTCCAGACCAGCCTGGGCAATATAGCAAGACCCCCATCTCTAAAAGATACACAATAAGCAAGATAAACAGTAGACCAACTAAATGAAGAATTAGTGAATTGGAAGGAGAAATAATCCATGATGCAGAGCAAAGAAATCAGAGGTGATATGAAAAGGAAGTTTTGAAATTTGAAGGATGGAATGAGATGCTCCAACTCCAGAGCTGCTTTCTTTGTTTTTTGAGACAGAATCTCACTCTGTTACCCAGGCTGGAGTGCAGTGGCATGATCTCGGCTCACTGCAACCTCCACCACCCAGGTTTAAGTGATTCTCCTGCCTCTGCCTCCTGAGTAGCTGGGATTATAGACGTGTGCTACCATGTCCGGTTAATTTTTTTGTATTTTTAGTAGAGACAGAGTTTCACTATGTTGGTCAGGCTGGTCTCGAACTCCTGACCTTGTGATCTGCCCGCCTTGGCCTCACAAAATGCTGGAATTACAGGTGTGAGCCACTGTGCCCAGCCTGCTTTGCTTGTTACATGCAGCCAGAACAGCCACAGAGCCATCATGAGCTCTGCCCAATGGCATACAGGAGTACCTGGTTTTTGGCATCTCAGGCCCATCTGTTTATTGTAGTACTTCCTTTTTCATTAGTATT